TATTGTCTATGAATTAGGTTCACAGACAAAAAAAACATTCACAAACATGGTGGGTATAAGGTGGGTATAAGAGTGGGTATATCAAACATTGTTGATTAAAAAAACTTTTTCACTAGCCCAGAAAAGGGAAAAGCACTTTTCACACGCAAGCCGAGAAAAAGTAAAAATTGGTAGTGTTCGATAAATAAGTGCTTTTTTAAGCCAAAAACTGAGAAGTGCTTTTTTTAAGTATCTAAAAACTGTGGTGGCAGTCGGTATTTAGTGGTGGCTGCATAAAGTGCAAATAATTTTTTTTTGCGATCGGAATGGGCTGTAAAAGGTTAAATTAAAAATATTTAATAATTGTGGTTGAATTAAGTAAAATTGGGGCTGCGTTTAGAATTATCTTTATCAATAAAACTGTTTGTACCCACCTTTATACCCACTTTTATACCCACCATGTTTGTGCAAGGTTTTTTTTTGTTTGTGAATTCCGGCCACAAACAAAATATGTCTGTTCAAATTATTTTGTCTATGAATTGGATTCACAGACAAAAAAATAGCTCTTCACAGACATAGTGGGTAGAAGACGGGTATAAAAGTGTGTACAATGTTCTATATCCTTATTTCCCCAAACATTACCTCTATCATATTTGTAATCAAATGAGATTAGTGCTACACTAACTAGCATGTTGGTAGTGCCTGACCGGTTGATGACATGTTATTCCAAATTATTTTCTTATCTTTGCAAACCATTATACCATAAATCTCACATTTCCCAAAGGTAATATTTTGCAAAGATAAGAAAATAACTTGGAATAGCAGGTCATACCGGTCAGGAACCAGCGAATGAAGATGGGGGTGCAAAGGTTGGATTATTCTTGAATAACGAAAACGTGGGAATATTGTAAGAAGACTGCTAAAAGGTTGGATTATTAGTTTCCATTTTCGCTAATTTTTTTTAGCATGTTCTTCATCAAGTGTAAATTATCTTCACAAAACTTTAGTTTAAAATTTAATCAAGAAATCAGCTAAATGAATTATTGAAACACATTCCATTTTATGTATATACATAAAGCGCAATATGTTTGAACAATTTATTTAACTGACTTCCCGATTGAATTTTAAGCTGAAGTTTTGTGGAGATAATATACATTTGACGAAAGACATACTCAAAACAATTCATAAAAAATCAACCCGAAAGCCCTTCAAACCATGCTTTGTCGGATAGCTTGTCCTGTCAGATCGGGCTAACTGGATCGTTGCTCCTAGTTATTTCCCGGGAAGTTCTATTTGTGGCCTCCGAATTACTAAATGCAGCCCCCAAAATATTCTAAAGGGTAGTTCTATTCATAGCCTCCTTATTACTAAACACAGCCTCCAAATTAAATATTATTAAAAAGTAAAATTAAATTAAATGTCTAATTTACCCCTTTAATAATACATTCAGCAGGTTATTCAACGCAGCCCCTAATCGCTAAGCTATTTCCACAACCTCTCATCCCTTCCGCTGGTTGCTCCCGTCCTCCATACCCATCGTTGAAGCTATCGTTTCACATTTCTTCGATTAAAATACAAATGGAAATTATTCAAAGCTCAAATTATCCTTAATAATAAAGATAAGCGCACAAGCACAGAATTCCGAAGAAAACAAGAGCGGAATGTGACGAGTTGAGCACTTGAACCGATAGTGCTGTTTGCTTCTTTGAAGCTTGTCATGTGCATCAGTTTTACAAGGAGCTAAACTTCTTTGATTCGTATATGTGAATTGAAAATATATTGAATTGAATTGCTCTGTATAAATTGGTATTAGTATCACACATAGCGATTCATCACAGATGCATCCTCCCCAACAGGGATGGCCAATTATTGCTGAAGTTCCAAGCGAGAATTTAAAAATTGCATAAATAAGGCAATGGAGAGCACTTTTTAAATGAAAGATGAGATTCTATCGCCGATTGCTGGGAATTATGAAACGATTCTACTTTACAAGTCCAAACAAGAACAAAAAAAAAATCCCTCCATTCCGGTGAAGATGGGAAGCCCTGTGAAGGTTGATATAATGAAGTAGCAAGGTTGTTGAGGGAAGGCTACGCTCCGAGAACAAGACCAGGCGTTCATACGAAATTCATATTACAGGGATATAATAGGCATTCAATTTATATTTAATTAATTAATTTTAATTATGGGCTGTAAATAGCAATCATGTGGCTGCATTTAGAATCACCCTATTCTAAATAACTAATTTACCATTGTAATAATACAATAGCTCATACCAGCTTCAGTATTGAATGTTGTGGAAGGTACATCAAAGAGATGTCGGACAAAATGCCTCCACCATATCAGGCCACAGAAATACCATTCAATGAAAGAAAAAATGAGGTTTCCTAAAAAGGGCCTCTTGGTCTGTTCTCCCAAGACGTAGAGGTCCTCTCTATTAGAGAGGAGTGAGGCGGAGAGTTGGAAGTACTGATCTTTGAAGATGATGAGGTGTCAGGACGGTTGAGCACCAACGAGGTGTCAAACAGGATGTCCCCGATGGAACGACGACAAACCGTGTAGCTGAATGAGGTATTGTTAGTGTTCTGAAAAATGAATTCCCGTGTAGCGGGAATTGAAATCGAATGTCCACTCAGTGGGAGAAAGGTCTCAACCGCCGGCGGTTGTGGGCGAGAGAAGAATGTCTTATGATACTATTTGAAAGTTGATTTTGATTAATTTATTTTTCAAAGAAGGGTTCATGCTTGGGAAGATTATGCTACATCTAATTTTGTAAATCTGAATCTCATCTCTAATTGGATGCATGAGTAGAATGTTTGCAACTGCTTCTGCTTAAAAAAGGCACTTTTGGAGATGTAAGGAAAAATTAGATTTTATGGATGAACAGATAACGAACAAAATTATGTGTTTGGAAATATTTCGATCTATGAGACTCATTGTAAAAAAAAAGAGAACACAACATAAATTTATATTTGGAATGATATGTGCTAATCTTTATATGTATACTAATTAATTCTCACTCTGTCCCTATCTAAACATCTTGATTTGAATAGCACACATTTTAAATAAACGATTTTTAACCTTTGACTTTCTGAAATGTTTTTTTTACTGATATAACGTAATTTTTACTACACAAGTATAATATTTCACAATATTTGACATTGCGGTATCATTATTAATTAAGAGCAATAGAGTAAGTTGATAGAAATTTGTGTACAAATAAGAGAAAATGACTTTATTTAGAGACATTCCGAAAACGAGAAGTTCTATGTGGGACATAAAAAGTAAAATTGTCATAAACAATATTAGGGCCTCGAGTTTTCTAATGAGGGTGATAATATTTATTATTTCGGAATATCTTATAATTTTATTTATTCAAAGAAAACTATAATGCTTACTCCGGTATTCTATACATTATCTAATAGAGAAAATTTCCCAAATAGGAGTAAAAGATAGGCAAAATGCAAAAATAAAAGTACTATGTTTTGAATAGGAGTAACTTTAGTGTTTAGACAAGTATATCCATACCCAAGCCACAACAACTTTCATTAATAATTAAAACATTAAAGGAATAACATTAATTTATAATAAAATTGTAAAAAAAATGAAAAAACACAAAAATATATCAAATAAAACATTCTTCGTATTAAATAAAATTAATAAAAATAAAAATTATTAAAATAAAAAATATTGAATAAAAAACTAAAAAATTAAAATTTAAAAATAAAAAATTTAAAAAAAATGTAGGCGTCTGCCGCCGCCTCAACAACCTCCCAGCACCACCAGCTCCGACGACAAAAAAAATGCCAACATTTTTCCGAAATGCCATCATGATGGCAGATTTTGAGAAAATTTGGCATTTTCAAAGAGCAAAACTGTCATCTTTATGGCATTTTCAAAGAAAAATGGAAGTTTTAACATAAAATGCCATTTTTTTCGCCGATCGGAGGTGACATTGCCGAGTGATGGCCGAGGTTGCGGAAAAGGCCTGCATATTTTTTTTATATTTTTTTAATGTGGTTTATATATTTTTTATTTATTTTTAAAGTATTTCAATATATATTTTCAAATATTTTAGAATTTTTTTTATATTTTATTAGGATCAAATAAGTCATATTTTAGAATTAACTAGGTTAGGGGTATTATGGGTACAAAATTAATGTTTACTCCTATTGAAGGAAGTTTTAAGTTTCACTCCTATTTGTGCAATTATGTTTATGTTTACTTATATTGGGCAATTCCTCTATCTAATACGAGTACAATTTTTTCTAGTACTTAACATTTTACTCCCGTATGAAAAATAGTGTTTAGGGCCAAAAATTCATTGTAATTTATAACTTCTCCCTATGTTCCAAATTGTTTTGCAAAGTCAACAATTTTTGGTCAACCAACAATAAAAGTCAATCCTCCCTATCGATAATTAACACAATTTTAATAATTAAAATTTACATATTCAGAAACTATATTAAAATCTTTTCAAAGTTACAAACTCCAAATTATAATATAAATAAAAATTGACATCCTAATTAAGCAAATAAAATGAAATTGTTTGATCAAGAAAAGTCAAATTTGCTAATCAATTGGGACGGAGATAGTAATACATTTCTTACGGCAGTGTAGAAATTTACTCTACAATATCACCAGTCACCACTCACACGTCTTTATTTTAAAGACTGAATATAAAACCAAAAATAAACAGAAACTTTGTAGTTAAAACATGTGTAGAAAACTACAGTTCCACTATTGGACCCTTTAATTAGATAATAGGAGCAAATGAGATTTTTGAAGATAAAGAAGAGGAAGATAACGGAAAAGAGGTGGTTCCGTTTCAAATTGATAGAAGATAGTTAGGATGCTTTGTTTTTTTATGTTGTTTGCTGGACTGGTTTGAACTTAGCCGAGGCATGTCCCGTGCAAGGACTTATTTGTGATTTTATTAATTTAGGTTAGTCTTGACTAGATTAGATAGATTCTGATGGGTTTGTTTTTTCAACACATTGTACTATGTTATTTTTTCTTGGGTGCTAATAAAATTTACATTTCCTCCGAAAAAAAACTAACAATTAACTGGTAGCATTATGAATCATGGATCACACCTTTGATATCCCACCTTTGATATAAAATCAACCTCAAATTTGATGCACGGTAAATGTAAGCATACTACACACACCAACAAAACAAAGTATCAGGGACCAAGCTGCCTTCACCAAAGAATGACACCCTACACTAAGAGGAAACTCCATCAAATTCTCTGTTGCTTTGCTTCATTATGGTACCTATCTAAATCAGCATCAAGATCTTCTGCAGAAAGCACCTTTCCACCACCACTTCGTCCTCTCCCACGCACTCTTTTTTTCCCTTTCCGCCTAAGGGGGGCTTCACGGGCACAGTTACTAATAGGAGGAAGGTGAGTGACCTTGTTTGTGGCAGCAAACTCCATCTTCATTGGTTTTGCATCAAGCCTAGTGTTGTTATACCATTCACAAGCTGCTAAAGCATCTTGTCGGCGAGAGTAAATAAGTTCGGCTGTTCCCACTGCTCCCTCATCAGTACTATCATAATGGATTGTATAACGTTTTATATCACCAAATTGTGAAAACAGAAGCTTAATGTCTTCTCCAGAGACTTTACAATCAAGATTGCTAACACAAAGCTTTGTTCCTGTCTCTATCTCAAACACAGCTTGATTGGGATCACAAGCAGATTGGTCGGGGATACACCAAACTGGCCCCGTGATGCAACCCACGCTTTCAGAATTCCTACTCTTCTCAATGACATCATTATCCTGACAAACAAGATCTGAATTTTACAAATCAAAGTGCGTGAATGATGAACATCAGTGTAAAAATGTGGTCTTATTAAAATTGATCTCTCCATTTTTTTTATTATTTTATGTTTTTTTTATCTTTCTTACGTTCTTCATCTTTTTATTTTATCCATTCTATTTTATTCATATTATCTTATCTGTTTAATCTTTTTATCTTTCTTTTATCTTATCATTTTATTCTTTTCATCTTTTTCATCTTTTTAGCTCCGATTTGATATGTTGATGCATGTGAGCCAACTCCAAATTCTTCCGGGACTAAGTAAAAGCTAGCACTTCCATCAAATACATTTGTAACATCAGATAAGTAACCGCTGTAAAATGACAAAACATAAAAAGAGAATATAATGTTAAAGTGTGCTGCATTCCACTTCAATATATCATATAAGCAAAGGCTATTAAGCCAACTAATAGAAATATGATAAAAAAACTCCATTGATCATTTTACCTTCCCTCTTTGATTTTTGAATAAGATATTATACAGATCATCATCTTCGGCAGCAGAGAATAAGCATTGGCGCTCCTTTGCGTCCAGGACTAATCTTTCCCAAACGGAATTGCTATCCATTAGGGTCCTCTCATCACCCAATATCCATAAACAGTGCCTTAAAGAAATGGGTTAAACACACCTTAGGCTTTAACTTTCAGAAATGAAAAGATAAGAATAATACACATACCGGGCTCTGGTCAGAGCAACATTAGTTCTTTGCAAACTAGACATAATACCGACTGTGCCAGTACAATTGGATCTCACAGTTGATAATATTATGATGTCCTCTTCTCCACCTTGGAAGCCATCAATAGACTTAACCTTAATCGCAAAGCCATTAAGATTGTCATACTTTCTGCCAATGTTATCTTTTATAGCAGCAACTTGAGCAGTATAGGGGGAAACAACACCAATGCTAAGCTTATCTCCCGTGTTACGCCAATCTTGCGAAATAAGGTTTCAAAATAAAATAACTTGTTAGAACATGTGAACTCAAACAATTCGCTACATCCCTATTAACCAGTGCAATGGATACAAAACAATAGAAGAAACATTTTGCTTGCACGAGGTTCATCACTTTGTATAAGCTAACAAATATGAACACAAGATTTCTTTTGGTAAGTGAGAAAGTTGGAATTTCTTTGGGATACAATACTGGAGAGTTGGGATACAATAGCACCATTGGATACAATAGCAAACGTGAAAAGAACGAGTATATATTTTCAAAGGTTAGTGAGATCACAATACAAGTATAGCAATGGGCGTTCAAGAAAAAATAAAGTGAGCAATCAAAAGCACAGTTTAGAGTTTCGACTCACATTTGAACAACTTCTGCACTATTTCAACTGCTATAGCCACCTCAACCATATTTCTTCTGGTATCGTCAAAACCATCAAATTCTTCATTTCCAGGGGGGACACTTATAAAAGAATATGGGCCGTACATCCTTCCCAGAAGATAATGCCTCTCATGGGGTTTGCTACTCTCATATGGAGCGTACATAACTTGCTTGTTATAGAAACTCAAATTAGGGAAGTGGCTTATTGAAGGATGCATTCTGTACTGCACCTTAAGCATGTGCTTTGAATGACCCAATGCACTTAGCCTTTCAAATAAGCTTCTTCCCAAACCAGCTTCATTTGACACCTATTAACAGTTATACTTGCTATTAGGGTTGATGAAGTTGCTATGAGTTATTAGATGCAAGATACTAAAACTTAAATTAATGGAATTCTCACTTTGCTATGGACAGTCGCCGGCAATTGAAACTCATCACCTACAAGAATTGCGTGCTTCAGGCCTCGAAGTTGAAGTGGTATAAGTGATTCACATTCCATCAACTGAGCAGCTTCATCAATTACCAATAACTTGAATGGTGCCGTATCCATTAAATGCATCTCATAAGAACTTGAGGAGGTGCAGAAAACCAAGGATGAAAACCTGAAGCAGAACTCCACTATGGTTTCTCTATGTTTTCCACTTGGAAGACGAAGTTCACCAAAAGAATGCAGAAGGTTTTCCAGAACGATGAGGCACTGCTTGCTCAAGCAGGCAAAAGGTGCATCTACAAATGACTCAGAGGAAACTGCAGAAATTACAGACTGTGGAAAATTTTCCTTCAGTTCATCAGGCGTCGTATTCTTCTCATATATAGTGTCTTCAAGAGCATCTAGAAGGCAAAACAGGGAAATGATAGATTGGAAATTGTGTTCTTGGATGAAAGTCCTTGGTATATGAGTACACATTGTTAACATGCATCTTCTGAGTGGTGATACTGCTTCTTCAAACCTTGGTTTAATAAATTTTGGAAAAGACTTTATAGCTCCTGCAACTTCCTTTACGGTTTCACCTTTTTCCATCAACTCTATATTTTTGTTTAAATTATTTTTTGTGAAGATTTCATACCATGAAATAGATTCTTTAAGAAAACAAATTGTGGAATGAATGCAACATTGCCAACCCTTTTCAGGTCCCAAACACTGAACAAGTCTTTCGACACGATGGTTTAGGAATATCCCTTCAGTGTCTTCGCCCAACTTCAAGCTATCATTGCTTCCCACTAAGAGCACATCACCCAACTGATTATATAGCATATTCTTCTTGGAACACCCGTCTTCAAACGACTCTTTTATCAGCTTTACCACTCGAGAGGCAACTTCGGTTATTGCCACATCTGTAGGTGCACAAATAAGTGTTCTGCACTTCCTTTTCAAGAGCATAAACAAGAGTATACTAACAGTACTTGTCTTCCCAGTACCAGGGGGGCCCCATATAAGATCAACATGAGACATTTGGTCACATTTCACCCTTCCAAGACAAGTAACTACAGCATTGGCTTGTGACTCATTCAGCTTGGACAGCAAGATGTCCTCTATCTTCTCAGTTGATGATGATCTAATGTCAGCATCGAGAGAGCAGGCAAAGCATTCCTTTTCAGCCTATTCATTAATATCATAAGAAAGATTAATCAAAATCATGAAAAAATAAAAAGGATCAGTAGGATGTTGAAGTATGAGTGAGAAGAGACACTTTTGAAACAATATGAATTGGAAGAATAATGTGTAAACCAGCTACCTGAGAGCTTTTGTACAAAATGGTTTCAAAACTGTTCAAATTCTTGTTCATTCCCAATGCATCCCAAATCCTTTGACTTGTTGCAATGTTTGTTAAGAAAACAATATGAATTTTTTCAAGGGTTCCAATTGTTGTTCCAGGATTTATAGGCATTTTGACTTTCAAGATTGTGGACAAACTGCCATCTTTGTTCTTCTCACCAGTGACCTTAACAACAGAAGCAAGTGTCCAATTCCAGCCAATACGATTCAAATCAAAAACTGTTTCCGGTTTTTTGTTTGAGATGACTACTAAATCTCCAGGATATGTTCTGTAATGCGCTCCATCATCACTTCCTCTTTTCTTGCAAAATTCAACCTTGACATTATAATAAAGAACTTCTTGAGGTTCATTTGTCACTTCAAAGTGGTCATCCTCAAGTCCAGCCTTTTCAAAAGCTATCACTTCAGCAGATGGAGCCTTGTCCAATTCGTTCATAGAAGAGTGGACATTTGCCCGAGTTTCTTCAAATAAGGGAAATGTATAACAACACAGGTAATGGTCCCATGAGGAGAATGTGTATGGAATCTTCTCAACCTAGCAGAAGAAAAGAGTAAAAGAAAAAACAAAGTTCAATAAAGTCAGGAAGAAGAACATCTAGAGATCCAATGACGAGACAGCATTGGATACTAACAGTATATCATCAGTTGATAATCACACAAAAAACAAGTACATTGAAGAAGATCTAAAGATATAAGAAACTGTGCATAAGCTCATAGATCATTAACTGTCAGTGCATTGCGCATTTGTGTTGGAAAAGAAGAGAGACCTGGTGTTTATAAAGATTCTCATTAAGAATGTCTTCAAGAGACCATGAGAGCACTATATCAGAGAGGTCTGTTGCAGGCCTACGAACAGCTCTTTCCATTTTTTTGTTCACCAAAACCACAGAGGTTTCAGAGTATTTGATAAAACAAAGGTATATTTTGCTTTGAAAACTTTCTTAATATTACATAGGATAGCGAAAATTCCCAAATTGCAACAAGTTCTGAAACACTTAGACACTTAGTAGGTAGAAAGGATCACAAAAGGCAAAATTCCCCCAAATGTCATCAAGTAACTAGAGCAAGTTCATGAAACGTGGAGTTTCTGTGGATGGTGATTTTGTATGGATGCATACATATACACATATATATACATAGAGAAAAAAAAATTGTCTTTTCTCGGAAAGAAAAATGAGCAGACTTTGCAGTGGGAAAATAAAAAATGATATGATCAGACCTGTTATAAATGTACGAGAAGAATAAAAAAGAAAAAGCCTACCTCCACAACGCTCGAGACGACGGAGTAGGCTTGTTTATGCCTGCATTAATGTCTCCCCTGGGACGCGAGAGCATCAACATCTTTTAATTTTTCGGGGTACTGGAATAATCATGAGCTCCACCTTTCAAGAGACTTAAGCTCGCCCTTACATCTGTATTCTTCTTCTTCTTCATTTGCTAGGAAAAAATGTTTCATGCAAAAAATTACTCCAGTGATGAAACTGCAATAACTCCCCTGTTGAACCCAAATGTTTCGTCGTGGTTGCTGGCTGAAGATGTAACTGAAATGCTCTCGAATTAAACTTGTTATTTTAATACTCCTTATTCACATGCAAATTAGACTGGGAAATGTTTGGTATACCGACACTTTTGGTAAAGTATGATACCGTATCGAATTACTTCGGTATGATATCGGTATATATTTTGGAAATAAACGGTATACTGGTATACCGTCATACCGTAATTCCAGGTCAATAATTTCCTTACAATTGTAAAAATAACTAGAAACACAATACTAATTCAAGGATAAATGACTTTATATCCATGTTTCAATTATTTATACTTTTTGTGTGGAGATCGGTGTTATTTTAATTATATTTATGTTGTTTAAATTATGTTAGCAGAATGTGTTGTTATCTTCATATATCATGTGTTAGAAATATCTATACATATTTATAATATTTTTTGTCAAAAGTTGATAAGAACACAAATAGGTTATCTCATTGGTATTTTATAATTAATTTCATTAATGATTTTAGTATATCACTATTGACACTGATTTTCTTTATTTCATTTGACATATAATAATTTGTTATATATTTACCGATACCGTACCTTACCGTACCGAAATTTCGGTATTATGCCGAAACAAGGTATACCGAAATTTCGGTATGGTAACGGTATGTATTTTTGCATACCGAAAGTTTACGGTATGGTAAAGGTATACGATAAAATATTTGGTATACCGTACCGAACCACCCCTAAATTAGATCGTGCAGCCGGTTGTACCTAGGGCATGGTATAGTCGGGCCTTTTGTAAATTATTTCAAGTTTGAGTCTAATCTTCGTCCTTCCCGGCTGTTTCGTCCTCTTCTCCCAACTTTCATTCCTTCATTTGTTTCGTCTCTACCGCGACTCTCCCAGGTTTCCGTCTGGTCATCGATCGATTGAAGTAAGATTTCCGTTCACTTTTCTTTGCTTTTTTTATTTTATTCATTTATATTTTCTTCCAATTTTGTTATTGCAATGATAAATTTTTGTTTTTGCTTGTTTCCATCTTCTATCTTACTTTCGTTCTTCTTTTACAGTTTTCTTCTCTTGGATGTGCTCCTCTTTATTATTTACTTCCGTTGATTCTTGTGCAGGTTTAGTTTTTTGAAGTTGTTCATTCAGTTCATGTTATTGTCTTCTGAATTGCAGGTTTAGGTTTAGGTTATTTTCTTCTATCGTAGGAACAAAATAATATTTTGTTCATTTAGTTCATATTTTTTTGTTGTAGCATTTAGTTTTATCCAAGATTTGATGCTATGTCTAGTTCTGGAGGTAATATATCAAAAAACGCCTTCAATATATTTGATTTATTTTGCTGAGTATTGCTTTACTGAGTATTGATCATCTGTAATTTGATTTTGATTTGTCATCCCCTGTCAAATGGTATTTCTTTTAGTGGCAAATTAATAGAAGATATTGAGGCGAGAGGCGAACTTTTTGAAGTTGATTGCAGTAATGTTTTCTATCTTTTCAATTTACATAGTGTTGTTGTTTGGTCTGTGTTGTTTACTTTGAGATTTTGTTAGTTATTTGTGCATTTTTTATGTCTTCAGATTACTTGCATTCTGCTGATACCTAAGTGAAGAAATTTTGTCAAGAACTGAATCTGTTCCTATCCTACCAAGTATTGTGTTTTCTTACATTTTATTACTTTGTTAGGTTTTTCCCTATTCAAATTTTAAATTCTTTTCTTTTCTTTTTTTGTAGTTCAAAATTCTTCTACTTTTGTTCATGTAGATCAAACTGATGAGGTTGTGTGTTCTGAAAATATATTTGTTAAGGAAGCAAACATTTCTGATTTATTGGGTAAAAACAGTTTTTTCGGAAGAAGAGGCATTTGATCTATATAGTGACTACGCTTATAGAATTGGATTTGGTGTTCGTTATTCTACTTTGAGAAAGAGGGGTAATGGTGTTGGTTTTAGAGGAAGGGAATTTTGTTGTACGAAACAAGGTATGAAAAGAAACAAAGGTGTTGTAGGTAAACAATATACAAAAGTTGAAAGACGAACTGGTTGCAAGGCAAAAGTTTATTTTGAGTTCAAACCTACAGGTGAGTTGGTTGTTGTTAGGCATGATATGGTTCATAATCACCAGTTTTGCCCGAATTCTTTAGTTCATCATGTTAGATCTCATCGTGTTGTTTCTTCAAGCGAGTTAGAGTATTTGGAACATTTAAAAAATAAAGGAGTTAAGATTGCAGATGGTTTTCGTTGCTTGCAAGATGAAGCGGGTGGATCTCCTTCTGTTGGTTTTCTTTTGTGTGATGCTTATAATGAGTTGACGAAAAAGTCTAGAAAATCTTTTGACGGTTGTGATGCAAATACATTGATTAATATTTTTAAGAACAGACATGCCAATGAAGAAGACTTTTTCTATTCTTTTGAGGTTGATTTGGATGGTTCTCTTTGTAGCTTTTTTTTGGAGAGATAAGAAAATGAGAGAAGATTATACTGCATTTGGTGATTTAGTTATTCATGATACGGCTTATCGCACCAACAAATATGATATGATTTGTGGTCCTTCGTTGGCATTAACTCTCATACTCATAATTGCATGTTTGGTTGTGGTTTTTTATTGAATGAAAGAATTGAGTCGTTTGAATGGCTTTTCACTACATTTTTTGCAATCTATGGGTTCTGTCCATCTAAGAACTGTTATGACAAATCAATCGGCTGCTATGTCTGCTGCAATTTGTAAAGTATTTCCTCTCTCGAAACATCGTCTGTGTGTTTGGCATATCACTGAAAATTCAAAGAAACATATACGTGACTTGAGGAATCAAGAGGGCTTCTTAGATTTGTTTGATCATGTTCTGAAATTGTGTCACACCGTTGCAGAATTTGATCATTACTGGAATAGGTATCTTTTATTATGACTATATTTTGTTTTATCTTTTCATATTTTTATTAGTATTGATTTTATGAGCATTATGTACGTTAACAATGAGTAACAGGTTGTACGAATTGATTAGTTTTGTTAATTCATTGTCTTTTATTTTGTAGAATGATCTCTGAATACAATTGCTCTGATAATCCTTGGTTGAAGAAACTGTATGAGATGAAAGAGAAATGATGTCGTGCTTTTTCAAAAGAGTTCTTTTCTGCTGGAATCTTGTCTTCCCAACGAAGTGAATCCACAAATCATTTTTTGTCTAGAAAAATGAATGCGAACTCGTCTCTTTGTGACTTTTACCATTTTTTCAGTGAGGCTGTCAGTGAATGGCGAAGTAATGAACGTAAAGATCAGCAACGTTGTTGGGATGGTTATCCTGAAATTGCTATTCCCTATGTTGGTTTGTTACATAAAGCTTCCAAGGTTAATTTACACGATTGATGCGTATAAACTCTTTGAAAAGGAATTTATGAGAGGTATGTCTCTTAAATATGAAGTCAGACACCATCAAGGTTCTTTAATGGGTTATTTGGTATGGATGCCTCAAATAGATCAGTTTTCTCATTGGGTTTCCTATGATATAACAACACATTTTGTTAGTTGTTCGTGTCAAAAATTCCTAGAGGTTGGTATTTTGTGTTGTCACATTCTTCGTATATATCATATTTACTGTGTGGAAGTTGTTCCAGATTGTTATATTCTGAAAAGGTGGACTCGTACAACAAAATGTCACATAAATGAAGAAACTCATGATGTAGCTGGTACTTCTAGTGTCTTGCCTTCTGTTTGGAGACTGCAAATGCAAAAGAAACATCACAAGCTGTTATGCTCTAGTGATTCAAATTCTGCAGCAAGGAAGTTATGTGAAGATTCTTTTAAAAGTTTGAAAGTTGCTGTTCAAGATCAACTTTGTAATCACATTATTATATACTTATGTATTTGTGTTCTTCTGTTCAGTTTCTATTTTTCTTAAACATAGATGTCTGTAATCCTATTACTCAAGTTCGTTGTTTTTATGTTCAAAAGAAACCATATCCGTTGTTTTGATTATCAAGCAAATTTGTAGTTTGATTTTCGAATAGCTATGTAGTCATATTGTTATGTTCACTCATTTACTAGTGACTGGTGTTGTTTTTTTTTTACTCAACATTTTTGTGTTGATGCTCAGACCATACCTGCATGTTGATAATTTAAAATTATGCTTTGGAATAGTATCAAGGTTTTCTGAAATATGAAGTTAGACATCATCAAGTTTCTCTAATGGGATATTTCGTATGGATGCCTTAAGTAGATCGGTTTTGTCATCGTGTTTCTTATAATATAACAACCCATTTTCCTAGTTGTTCGTGTAAAAAATTCCTATTTTATATTTAGATAATGTTCTGTTGAGCTTTTGATATTATTAGACCTATGTCTGTACTTTTATTACTCAATTTGGTTGTTCAGATGCTAAAAAGAAATCTATTAAATTTCATATATAAATATGCATACATTAATCTTATACTATCTATAAATTATTCGTATCTGTGTATAGTAAGTTATATTTTAGTCACAATTCTTTAATTTCGTTTTACTCTTTCCATTGAAACATTATAAAATATACGCAGTAGTTTCTTTATAGTACTCATTTCCTGCCTAATGAGTATTCTTGTAAGAAATTATGAGCGTATGTCCCAAAGTTGATTTCCATGTTTACTATTATTGTTTGTATTCATTCAGTAACAACATTAATTATAATGATCATTCTTAGTCATATGAAATTTTGTTTTGCAGAATAAGGCAAATTGATACTCTGTTTTTTTATTTATAAATGCTTTGACATCTATGTTTTTTCCCTCAATTCACTTGTAGCATTTTAACTAACTTACTAATACTTCAAAATAACACTTTTGCAAACGTTTTTTGTTTGATACATTATAAACCTTTTTCACACTACTCCTCTAATAGAGTATATATGCATTCAAAATGAGCACATAATATACTAGCAATGATCATTCACTTAAACGTAACAACCTGTCATGTAGATTCACATTATGTCATTAACACAAACAAAACATGTTTCATCTCAAATGAAACCATAGAACCATACGTAACAACCTGTCCAAGAGATTCACCATAATGTCATTAATAGAAACAAAACATGTTTTTCTGAAACGAAAACATGGAAGCATTTCTACTTGAGATTAAAGTAAGTTTTTCTTCATCATAGAAGCACTACATTTCCTTCACTTTTGCCATCACCTCTGTCCTGACTTCATTCTTCGGAAATGTCAGCATCTTGTGCAAGTACTTAATCCTCAAGGTGTTTATGGGCTTTTCCTGCATGATTAAATATGTTAGTATTAATATACCATAAATTTCACATATTAGGAAGATACCAATAAATCCTTCATTGAAAATAGATAGTGGTTTTTACATTTTCTTTTTCTAGGCCAAGGTCCCAATTAGTTTCTCCATTAAAAGTTTCCATATGTCTCATAAGGTAGACTCCTTCATTGGCTTTGTTTTTTTGGTTCTCCATGTCATTTTTAATACTTCTGGCCTCATATTCTTTACTTTGTCTGCATGTTGATGGTTCTCTTCTTTAAGCCATTTCAAAACAGCACTTTTCTGTAAATAAAAGCAATTAAACAGTTTCTGTATTAAGTAATAATAAACATTTTGCACAAAAAATATGTTTAGATACTCATTTTGGTTAGCTACTATACTCATTTTAAAATATAAATAATACACTTTTTTGCTTACCAGTTGGTTTGGTCGTGAAAAGTACTTCATTTCTATGGATACTTCCCCTTCCCAGCTATCAATTATTAAGAACTTCATGTACTTCATATCAAATCACATAAGGTAGTAGCTACCACTCTGTTCAGTCTGGAAGATAAACAAGTCCATGTTCTTCACTTTGGGCAATGCCCTCTTGAATTGGCTCCGTGTAGCTTGAATAAACCTCTTGTTTCGTGTTGGTGGAGCACTAATCTTATTTTCGTCCAATACTCTTTGCAAATCAATTATTTAGAATATTTGTTATAAATATATGAATAAGAATACTTAAAGCCATAATTCTTACACATGGTGTTGTCGTAAATATCAATCTCTTCCTTGATTCACTGCTTTTCAAAGTCTCGTTCTCGTTCAAAATGCTGGCCCATAAATCTATCGGCGGTGGACTCACTTTACAGTTGATGTTCAAACTGTGCATCTCACTTCTTGAAAGCACCAGATCTTCTTCTTTGTAGATCACAACCCTATTTGTTTTTAACAATTGTCAGCTAACTTTAATCAAATATTACACTTGAATAATTTATACTTATTCTTATAAATATTTAGTTACTTACGTTTTATCAGAATTCTCGTCAAAGACAAATTGAGCTAGCTAGTTTGATTTCTTCAGTAGTTATTCCTGCCTTTATTTCTGTAACCCGGTTCACGTACGGTGACTTGAGGATAGCACTTCGCATTACTTCTCTTTTTCCTTTCACTAGATCTTCATGAGATTGAGTATCTTCTTCTTCAATACAAACTTGCTTTCCCTTTTCAGATGCCCTTCTTGAATCATCTTCTCTTTCACTCACAGGAGCAGCTTCTGTACCCACATTCACTTCCTCATTTTCCTTATATAGCTCATTATTCTCCTCTTCATGCTCAACAGTCACATGCTCATACTCAGTCAGATGTTCTTCATGTTCAGGAAGATCTGTATTCTCATTTGATTCTTGGGAAAGCAGTTTGAAGCTTGGCTTTTCGTATTGTGTCAACTTCCCTTAAAACCTCCTCAGTCCAAAAGTCATCCTCAGGCGTCATTGATATTTCTTTTTCAGATGTTTGTGCTTCTGTTGAGTATGTGTTGAAGAGTCAATGGACTTTGCCCAACAAAACCTTCATGTGGTCATCATCAGGCAACACCTTCGCAGCTTTTTGAAACTTTTCATCAAAGGTTGCTATGCTATCAGCCAAGTGCTTTGCTGCTGAAGCAAATTCTTTCATGATATCCTTTTTGAAACATATGAGTATTAATAGCTCTTCTATTGAGTTATTTTAATTTTATTTTGAGTTATTAAGTATAAACAATGTCAAGTCAAATATTTATTATTTTATTTCACATCATAACCATATATTTTTAAAATATACTTATTTAATTATTAAAAATCTTACCAATTTCATTCCTGAACAAATTATGAAAATAAGACATTATTTTCCTTACCTTATTTGGCTGCTCATTGCTTTCTCCCACATTTGCCTTTTCAACTTCCCCTTCATTTTGAATCACATGTGGGATTGCAAGTGTTCCTTTATTTGGTTCATCTATGTATCCAAATCCGAACCATTCACTTTGTATTTCTTCCTTTTCTCTTTTGTTCAGGCTCTGAGCTATCCATCCTATTATAGATGACAATCCTCTGTCTACTTTCCTTCCTTTGAATACCACATTGTCAACATAAAACACCTGTATATTACAAAGTTTAAGAATTGTGCATTGTATTATACATATTTGATTAATAATGCAAATAAGTTGAGCATTGACATTATAAATTTTTTAACTTACAATCAGAAACACAAGAGGCCCTGGGAACTGCCGTTCTCTACTTTCATTCCAGTAATCCTTTGATTCAATCAATTTCTCCAATGCATAGCCGCACCAATTGAGATTCTGTATTTGTGATTCATCATCCGGAGCTTTGAGAATACTTTGTGATGGAGCAGTCTACCCGGGGGGTATCTTGTCCGAGGGGTTATTGCGGGACTAACTAGAGAGAAGTCAGAGCAAATAGGAGGAGAGAGAGTCGATTTATTAAATGAACTCGAGATGTTCCGGTCCCTTACAACGGGGAAAGGGGTGCTATTTATAGTAGTAATAAATGCGATGAGGGGACACGTGTCGACGATCTGTCGGCCGAAGGGTCACATCAACTGAGTGGCACCGGCAGTGGCATGTTCGTCGCATTAAATGTGGTGGGTGGATGTGACGCTGCATTGAATGCGGTGGTTGACTGTCTCCAAAGGGAATCTTTGATGATGATGGAGGTGTTGGCCGAAGGCTCCCCCTTCGGCCGAGGGTTCCTCGTAGTGGAAGTGAGGAGGGTGCCGAGGGCTCTCCTGCCCCCGAAGGCACCCCTGAGTGCCGAGGGCTTCGGTAGCCGAGGGATACCTTTTGCGCCGTTTTCTCCCAGTAGCGTTGCAAGCTCGAATCTGGCTGCCATGTTCGATTTGGAGCCTTCGGCCAGGAAGGGCCGAAGGCATTCCAGTGTGCATTCTGGGTTCTCTTGATGCTTGGGCCGTTGTATTTGGGCCTGAGACGCCCCCTGGGCCTAGTGGGCTTGTGTATGAGAAGTAGGAGTCTGTGGGCCGGGGGCTCCTGGGCCATATACTCCATCAGGAGTCACCCACTCCTTTTGCCGAAAGGCACTTGAGGGAAAAGGAGTAACTGCGTTGATGCGCCGCGTGTGCCGAAGGCTTTCCCTTATCCGGAGAGGTTTCCTGAGATTTACCGAGGGCTTCCCCTCAGTCCCCCCACATGTCGAGGGTTTTCTGAGGGAAGTATAAATGAGTTGCCTGTGTGTGTTGTGATGAGGGCTGACTCATTGTCGCCAGTGACTTGTGGGAATTTTTTGATATCTTGTCTTTTGCCGAAGGGTACGAAGACTCATGTGCCCGAAGGGTTCTCCTTTGGTGTCACCCGATGGCCGTTGCTTTGTGTTGTCTGCAACTTTTTCGTTTTCGACAATTTATACGCTGCATAAATCCCGAGGGGTGTATCCAGTCCCCCACTCCTTTAGGCCGAAGGCTAGTTCGGGCTGAAGGGGTTATATTGTATGACGAATCCCCGAGGGGGGTGATATTGCTAGCCGGGGGCTTACGTTGCAGTTTGTTCGAAGGTACTTGGTGATATTCGCTCACCGAAGGGCCTACTCAGTAAGAGCCGGAAGCTATCGCCTGGGGTTGTCTCAAGAGTCTCCGAAATAGAGCCGTTGTGATATAGCCGTTGGAAGAGGGGTTG